GACTGGAGAATTATCAGACTGCAGACTACAGAATACTATCTCCCGAGAAGAATGTGCTAACAAAAATGCTCATGAATGGTAGTTCCCTCATGGTTCCTTCCAGGATGACAATCAGTTAGGAGCTCCAAGGCATTTCTCACGAAGTAAACATTCCTTGGATGGTGTAAGAAAGAACATGCAAACTCTCCCATGAGAAGGCTTCCTATTATATGCTGCCCGTTCAAGTTCGCCATAACTTTATGTCAACTTGTTATGGAGAAAAGATTGACCCATCACCTAGGGCTGTGAAAAGACAAGTGGAACCTATACAGGAGGTAGAAGCAAAGAGAAAGAAAAATGTCACCTCCAGAATGAACTTGGCAATTTCCGGCCTACCTAGAAGCTTAAATCGATGTTCTTAACCTTCAGAAAAACAAAGTTAACTTTAAGTCTCAGCTCCTGTGAGTTAGTATCCATCTCCTCTTAAATTCCCCTTTGCCCAAGTTCTCATTCTAAATTTTCTTTTCAAAGATCAGGTTGATAAGTCAGACTCTCGGTCTTTAGGGAGCCTTGACTTTTCAGGGCCCTGAGCTGCACACCGTGGTTATGATTCAGCCTAGCACACAAGCAGCAAGAAGAGCAAATGGCTGCTTTGTCAAACCTAATGTGTCTGGAGGTATCAGGTTCAAGAACTCAGTTTTATACCCCCTTCATTCAGAGGTAAATGTGTCCATTTAAGAGACAATGTCTATCTTCCTTTGTGATCAATTATTTTGTCTTTTGAGATAATTACCACAACTCCAGAGGCACCTGAGTGGTCAAGTTGTCATGTGACACCATATATAGGAGACTCAAGCTTTCTGACACCTGGTTTTTTATCTAAAAACATAAGAATTATATCTATTCTCTTCTTGTTGCTGAGGGAAACAGGAAGAACTTAAGAGCTTGCATGTTATAGAAGATATTCAGTGGGTGGTAGCTGCTCCTCTTAATCACTCTCTTTAAGCATGCTTGAAAAATGACCAAATCTGCACATTCATTTTGTCAAACTGTTCTTGGAAATGCCTCAGGTCACAAAATGCATTAGATGGCTTCACTCTGAGAAGCATTTTTAAGAGCTCAAAAGAAATCCATACAATCCCATTTTTCTTAATAGTATTCACCGTTCTTTCAAAGCCAGGAACATGAGTTCCCTTCTGATTGACTATTCATAAAGAGAAATAGCAGCAATTTCAGAAGCACCAGAATGCACTTGGAGTGGCAAGTGGAAGCTGAAGCTAAGGCCATGGGCGGTTTTGGTTTTGACTTTAAGAATTGTGATCGTTGCTCATGTTTAAACTCTACCTTCACACTTATCTGGACTCTGGTTTTCTTGTCATCCATCACATTCATGGGGGACCGTTTTCTTTTCACCCCCACTTCTTACAATCTTGGGAACAATGTGAACCTAAAGAGGCTTGGCACCATTTCTCTGCTGCTTAGATGTCACACAGTCTCTGCGGAGACCTGGAAGTCACTCCAATTCATCTTCTCTTTCTTACCTTTTGCCCTCCCAAACCTGACAACTGTTTCCTTCCCTAGAAAGATAAAATTCCAGAGTATTCCCCCAACTAAACGCCATTCTTCTTTTGCTTTGGAGCAGTGAAAGTATCTCATGGTTATTATTCTCCACAGGAAACACTCCGATTTGACTTCCTGTTCTTTTATTTATTCTTGTGAATAAGAAGATAAAGAATGAGCTGGAACAGAGTCCTCTAAAGCCCATTTTAAAAATCAGGATGGACAAGGTACCAAATGAACTCTTATTAGGGCTTCAGTGAATGACTGAAAGAGAGTCATGGGATAGGGACACGGAATGTGGGGATAGGGAGTCTTTAAGAGGTCACAGGATTTTGTCATTAAAATTGCATTTTATTTAGCGCATTTGCATAATACCAGAGACTGTTTGAAATCTACTAATAACTAAAATGTAGAGAGACAAATGAACAAAGAGTCAATTTGTAAAGCATATTAGAATGCAAAGCAAATGTTCAGCACGGAAAAGGTAGCTGATTATAATATGATAAAGCAAAAGATATTAAAAGTCAACCACACTATTACGGGAGCATGGCAAAGGGAACTGGAAGACTCTCCACGAGAAAAAACTGAACATTTTGGGAGGAGAGAAGGCATTATTGATAACCAAAATTACAAAATACACATCCATGATTCTTCTCTGCTTTAAATAAATTACTGAATACACTAAAAACCGGAATGAAGAAGAATCTACTACTTTGGAGAATTACAAATGATTTCTATAAATAAGCCACCCCCAAGGCAGAGCATGACTTCACTCTACTGAGAACTATACACAGTGACTTTCTCCCAGATGAGTCAATAAAGGAAGGATGAAATGGAAAGACATCTTCACAGAAGAGAGGCAGGACACCACCTCAGTTAGCTGACCAAGAGCCTTTGAGCTCTTGAGCAGTCGACTGCTGAGAAGAGATTATAAGCTTTCTCAAGTAGAAGGAAAGGGACACAAGCATCATTTCTTAAGAGACATAGACTAGAACTTTTAATGGATGTGACAGAGGTGCCAACTCTCTCAAGAAATTTAAAGCGAGGGAAGCCTATTGAATTCAATCCCCAAGACCAGTGCTACTCTACAACCAAAACCAATCAAGGATGCCTGGAAATAAATGTACATCAATGTTGCTGAGCAAAGTACTAACAAAGTAAATAAGACTGTACAGTTCATCAAAAATACCACTGGCCATGTTCAAATTGGTTTCATCTCAAGGATGTAAAGATGATTTGACATATGGAAATCACTAAAGGTGATATGTCTGGCAAAATGAGAGATAAAGATGATATAATTAACCCAATTTTTTTCTGAATGCTCAATAAAATTTGAAAGTTTTCAGGAACTGCTCAATATAATTTAACTTGCTTTCATGATACAGGACCTTAACAAGTTAGATACAGAGGGTATGCCTCTTCACAATAAATACTGCATGTGACAAAGCCACAAGACACCATAAGAATGAAGAAAAGCTGGAACTCTTTCCTCTAGGATTAGGAACATTCAAGATTGTCCACTCTCCTACTCTCTTTTTACATAGCACCAAAAATTAGATTCAGAGCAATTAGGCAGCAGGAAGAAATAGAAGGGTGGCACATGTCATTTATCCCAGAGGCTGAGGCAGGCTGATCTCTGTGAGTTCAAGGTCAGCCTGGTCTATACAGAGAGTTCTAGGACAACTAGGGCTACAAAGATAGACTTGTTTAAAAAAGGAGGGGAAGTGGAGGAAATAACACCAAACCCAGCCATCTCAAACCCTGATATAGAACACTTACCTGCCTCCCTGCCCAGCTCAGAGCCTGTACCTTACCGACCCCATAGCACTTCCCCATCTCTAACCTCAACAGAGCACTGGCTGCTGAGGTCAGAGGTTGAGCCTTCCAGTACTGAACTGGGATTTACCCAGGTATGCTGCTCACAAATTCGCACTGGGTGACCTCAATATTAACCTTTGGATTTTTAGATCTGTGGATTTAAAATGTACTTAGAGAAGTCAGGAAACTAGAAAATGACCATCTGAGAAATGTCTCATGGTATGAAAGGTTAGCAAAGCATAGGCAATCTGAAAGGAGAGACGAGGAATAAGAGGGTTGGAAAAGTTAAAGTGGAGACAGATATATGGGATTTATTAGAATGACTTATAGGCTGTGATCTAAGTAGTCTAACAATCATTGTATCATGACAGAAAGGCCAAGAATCCATTGGATGTTCAGGCCACAGATTGGATGTCTCAGCAGCCCCTCTAGTGCTGGGGTCTGGGAGGATTCTCAAAAATGCAGGTTCTACTACGGGGAAGGAATGCTTCAGCAACAGGATCGATGGAAACACCAGTGACAGTCAGGGCAAGCAGGTACAAAAGCCAAAGCTTTCTTCTTTCACGTCCTTTCATGTGGCTGCTCTAGAAGGTGTGTCCTCGATTTAGGATGAATCTTCCCACCTTAAATAGTTCAGTGAAGAAAATTTCTCATAGGTGTCCCCAGCTGCTCGGGTTTTAGTTTATATCACATGTAGTCAAGTTAACAACCAAGATTAGCAGTCCCAGGAGATACCTGGCTTGGCTAGATAATGCTGTTCCAAGAAGCCATGATTATTAAACAAAAGCCTCAGGACTGGAGATGTGCATCAGAGGTCATGAACACGTGATGCTCTTGTGAGGACCTGAGTTCTGTTCCCAGCATCCATCCGAGTCAGGTGCTCACAGCTGCCTGGAACTCCAGCTTCAAGGGATCCTGACACCCTCTTCTGGCCTCCACAGGCAACTCTCTCTCTCTCTCTCTCTCTCTCACACACACACACACACACACACACACACGCATATTAATAATTATGATGATAACAAAATAATAACTATAATAATAAATAAAATATTTCAAAGTAAATTCCAGTGCCAGATGCATGATACTTTCTTGTTGCCTTGTTCAGGAAGGCCCCACAGGCAGCAAAAACATCATAAGTGTTTACCATTCTTCTCGGTTGCCCACCAGAACTAGGTGACAAGACCCTATTGTTGGAGACATTGTACACTTTGTTCGCAAAATACAGAAAAAGCAAGCTGGAACGGAACTGGAAGCTTTCTCCCTTCTAGTTTACTTTCATAATGCTGGAAGGAGCAATGAAGGTTGATGGGAGAAAAAAAGTGTCTGTGGCCTTCTGCATCTATGAAGTATAACACTAAACAAGAAGGCAAGATGTGTCTACTGTTGCAGTAATGGCACTAAGTTTGGGGATCCACTAGATACCACCTGATTGGATTTGAGGCCTGCTCTGTAAGAGGGAATTCATGCCTGGTACTATAAACCCAGTAAAATAAAGCCCATGGATGAGGATGTAATGGGCCCTAAGGAGGAACTAATGGTTTTTGGCTATATTGATGTAGCATTAAACCACCTTCTGTGTATCTGTACATCCAAAGCCAGATGCTTCTCTCAACAATAATCAGAGAACCTTCTCTTTACAGAGTGACCGCAAATGCAGAGACCCTTGGATGCTCACTGTGAGAAGAAGGAATTGCTGCAGGCTTAGCCCAAGCAGGACATTTATATCACCTCTTCTAAGTTCAGGAAGATGGTGAAGAAAGGATGTAAGAGAGAGAAGACTCAGAGAAGAGTTAAGACATTCTGTCTTCCAGGCATGACATCGCCTTTTTAATCATGTGCTCACAGCAGTTGTGCAGCATATCCTAGGCTTGAACAAGACTGGACCTGTGAATAGCCAGTCACAGATACCTCTCCCTGATGAACGTGGCTATTAGTGGATTCCAGTGTCCATACTTTCAGACTGGTACCTATTGGTGGAACCACCAAGTTCCATTGGATGAAACAATAGTCACTCATGTGGTGCTTGTAATGCTCCATGGGTCAAAACCCAAAAAGATAGAAATATAGGTAGGACCTCTAGAGAAGAGGGTACTGTTTACAAGTGATGGGGGAGAAAAGAAAGGGTCGGGGGGTGAGAGTAGTCAGGATGTGCTATTTAGTGTATAAAATTGTCAAAGAACAAATGTAATTAGTTTTTTTTTAATCTCAAAGACTTATCATCTCATGCCAACTAAAATGGTTATCGAAAGAACAAAAATTAACCAAAATGGTAAGGATGTAAGAAACAAGAACTCTTACACTTGAGGTGAATACAGTTACTACGGAAAACAATGAGGAAGTTCCTAAAAAACGAGAAGATTTTCCATATGAGCAACCTGTGTTATGATAAGACGTGAAGCCCACAACCTTATATTACTGTAATAGTGTCAATAGGACATAGAGTCAGCATAGGCTTTCCCCACTGTTGGGTTTCTTAAAATGTGACATATTTACACAATAGGAAGCCACTTGACCTTGGGGAGGATCTGTCACTGTAGCAAAATCAATAAATTACGTGAAGTATTAGAGAATATTAAATTATGTGAAATAATCCAGGCACAGAAAGACAAGTAATGCACGGTCCCTTTCACATGTGGATGCAAAAAGAGCCAATCTGAAAAGAGAGAGGTTGGAAAAGAAGGCCGTGGAGATGACAGATAAGCAGGGCTGGGTTTGATCAGTACAGCTGCATGCTTACGTAGAAATGCACTCTACTCATTAAAATGTACAACTGAGCATGTAACTCCAAATGTTTAAAAGGAAACTTGATGGGGGGGGATCATCTTAAGATTTGAAGGGGTTGAGAGTGTGACATTATCAGGAGGGATGCTCTCAAGTACCTGGGTACCTCCAGCATAGAAAAGGCCAACCCAGGAAATAACAGTTGTGACTCTGAAAAAAAATCTATACCAGCACGTATGGAGTCACTTTAGACACTTCTGGCTTCTATTAAGTCTCTATACAGTCAACATTGGCTTGCATTTAATACAGAAGGTAATGAGAGGTCATTGAAATTGTTTCTTGAAGCAGCCAAGAACTTTTACGACTGTTCTCAGCGTAGAGCCAAGGCCTTAATCCACATCTGCAAACCGAAGACATTTGATTAGATAACTTCCAGCTGTAAAAATTGTATGATTAGCTAATTATTCATTATAGAGGTTTGGCCCTTTAAGTTTGTCTCCCATGAATCAATTTATGTCAGCTCGAACCTGATGGAACCAAGCCATAAACATAAAGGCATTTCATCTTGGAATTACACATAGTATCATACGAAGAAGAGATATTTCATCCTAAAGATAACTCTAGGACTGACAGAGTAGTTAATAGACTCCTGTAAGTGGACCATGCTTAAGGATGCTAGAAGACTGGAAAGGAAGAACAGGAAGATGGCAGACTACTTAGAGTCTTCTCCCTTCATCACCCATCACCATCTTTTTCTGTCGCAGTGATAAATGCAATGGATTCTTCTCTCCCACGATAGCCTTCTGTTGTTGGAAAGGAACAAATCCTTCATCTTTGGACTGAGATTTTCCCAGCCCTGAGTATCCCATCAAATGTTTCCCAGGAAGAGCAGGTAGGGGAGCTCTTCTAACATCTAACAGTATTTTCAAAATGCTTTTACAACTCACTCAATGTAGCTTTATCCTAAATAACCTTTCCCAGTCATTAGTAGCAATTACCAAGACTTCTCTCCCACCTAAAGGTTCTATAAGATGTTGTAACACCCTCACTTTTGCGGAATAATCAGCAGTATGTTTTTTCTGACCAACAGTTCTCTTCCTGAAGTATTCTGGACAAGTTTCAGCACCAGGTATATAGGGATACAGCCAGACTACACTGGAAAGCAACAGCAGTTGGAGGTTTATAGACTCCTACAAAGCAAGTGGAAAGACAGTACAGTGGAAAACTTGTATCGTCTTTCCTGTTGCAAACGGTCCTTATGGTCCAGTCTAAATATTTAAGGGCCATTCACTACAACTGATCTAATTAGGGGCACCGGAGGTAACACCAGTGACTTCACCTCATCAGGACAATTTTCTTGTTAACCGATATGCTTTGCAATGACACAGGAAGGATCATTTTGCAAGAAAACAGGGCAAGAGGAGTCTAAATATTCCCCAATGCATTGGGGAAAAAAATTGTATTTTATGCATACAATTAAATAATTTATGTAACTATGATAACAGTAAAACCATCTTTATATTTAAAACTCCCAATCTGTGGGGAAAAATTATAAAAACCAAGGTGTTCGTTAGGATTCATAACCTTTAATATCATTCTATCCTTTATCTTGAAGCCAAGGAGGATGTAAAAAGACTCAACTATACTGTTGGGAGGGTCTGCTAGGATTAAATTATGTAATAAAACTGAGAAATGCTTGAACATACACTCTTCTTTTCACATCTATTAAGGTTTAGTGAAAAATTAAAATTTATGTATACTGAATAACCATGTGTAATTTTGAAGGCTATTCTTGGTTGTCAACTGGACTACATCTTGAACAAATAAAATCCCAAGACTAAGTACATCTGTATGGAATTTGTATTAATTCAATCATTTGAAATGGCAGGACCCACCTTTAAACTAAATATTTTGAGATAGGAAGATCTATCTTTAATCTGGGCCACACCTTCAGCTGGCAGCCCCTACAAAGGACACGAAAGAAGGAAGCTTTTGCCCTTTGCCTGCTTTCTTTCATTCTTGCTACCTGGCATTCTCTTAACTGGCATAGGTGCCTCTTCTTTGGGATTCTAGCATATACTGAGGACTGGCTGAGACTTATAGTCTTGTGGACTGAACAACTACTGGAGTCTTGAACTTTCCATTAGTAAACAGCCACTGTTGTACTGGCTGGATCACAACCCATAGGCTACTCTAATAAATCACCCTTCTATAAATAGATTCATTCTATAAGTTCTGTTCCTCTAGGGAACCCAGACTAAAACAGCAGCTATACCCAGTTACTTTTGCCAAGGACCATTGGCTTTACCTGAGGCCACAAGATAAAGAAAAGCAGGATGAAAGACTGGCATCTCTGCCTTCATTTTGTATACTTCTTAACACCGTGTGGGTACAGTCATCATTAAGGGGTGTCTTTCTACCTAGCCCATTTCAGTTCCCATCAAGGCTAATGCATCTTATTGTCAGCTTTATACTCTGCTCTGTTCCAGACCATAAGAGTCTCAAGCCAATGTCCTGAAGTCACTTTGGAGTCCAAGAACAGCAGAGCTGCAAAGGGCAAGTCACCCCCAAAACAAAGCCGTTATCCGTGATGTTGAGGCCACATGTACGCCAGAGCACAAGTAGTCACCCCTGGAGCGAACCAGCATGTACTCTCAAGAAATAAGGACTTCTGCAGACCACTTCCTATAATTATAACCCAGATAAATACCAACACAACCACACTTTGACCAGGACAGCCTAAGCACACATATCTCTTGTCCTTGCCCCAATTCTTCTCTACTTAAATCTGAAGCTCATGTCAGACTTGGGATCGTGGGACTCCTCATTTTTCCAACATATTGATGAACTCTCCTCTATTTTCACCATTATCTGTGTCTTTAATTGGCACACCAGGATGACTGCCCATATTTAGGTTGTTGGGGCTGTCAGAGGCAAGGACTTTCGTCATGTCATATAAGATTTTTGCTGCGGAGATACAACACACGTCTACTCTGGAGAAGAAACCCAGGGCACATCGAGGGAACAGCTCTACCAGAGTCCAACTGGGTGAAGCAGTGAACTTTCACAGTAGCTAAAAACAGGAAATGTGGGTGAGGATTAACGTCCAAGAGCAGGCATCACCAAGAGCATCACCAAGAGCATCACCAAGGAGCCCTCCCCAAGATGGGCAATGGCTCCGGAAAACTCTGGCCCTCCTAGAGCTTTCTGCACAACCTGCAATAGGTCTGAGGGATCTCCCCGAGGCAGCCCAGCTGGCCCTCTCTTCTTCCAGTAGATATTTAATGCTTCCTAAAGGCAGGAGGAGTCATCATGAATCTTGTAAGTTTCAGCTTTCCCAATCCTGCGAACTTTGTTTACCTTCTAAGTCTCATGAGCCCACCCTGCCCACTTCCTGAAGATGTTACAGTTGAGAGAAAACTGTCCTAGGGCATGTCCTAAAACTCATGTTATAACTCGATGTTATGGTATAGAAATAGATTGGCAAATATTTATCACACTGAGCTAATTATTAATCTCGCAGACCATATGCATCATTTTGCATAGTTCTTCTTTCTTTTCCCCCAATGTGGCGACTATGCTGAAGATGTATGCTCTTACCGCATCTCAGATGCATGGCACAATATTGTTAATTATAGTTGCATTGCTGTACATTAGATCTCCAGAATTACTTTATTTTGCATGTCTGAAGCTTTGCGCCCCAACCCTTGATAATTACCATTCTACTCTGTTCCCATGAATTTGGCATTTTTCTATTCCACATACAAAGAATATATAATTCATTACTTTGACCACAAACAATTGAGTACCACGTGTCAAAACTGTCCTTAAGCACTGAATATAATGTGGTGAGAAAGAAGATAAAAATGTCTCCTGTCATAGGGCTCACAGCTTATGGCAAAGCCAACATTAGCTGATTAAAATTGTAAGTAAATACACAATTCCAGAAGAATAGGTGATGAGAGGAGACTCACATGGGAGACCTAATGTGATATCTTTGTGGGAGGTGGGGGCCACGTAAATTCTGAAAAAGAACATGTAAATTCAAACCCCAGTATGAATAGGATTTAAGCCAGACTGTGCTAGGGACAGAGAAAACACAAATGCCATTCAGCAGTTTAGAAATTCAAGAACCAACAACTAGGTAAGAGAATCCTCTATTGTGTTTTTAAAAAGTGCAGATTTCCTGAGTGATGTCATGGAGGAGCATCATCTTGCCTATGAGACCCACAGGGAAAGAGTCTAATGTTTCTCCTGATGAATAAAAATTGACATTTATAGGGACTAAAAATAAGCTGTAGCTGGTAAAGATTATCCAGCTAATTTCCTAGAAATCAAAATAGCACCCTCCATTTAAGGATGTTATTGTCAGATACACGGATCTAGCCAATGAGGTTAAAAATATTTGCAAGCACACAACTTAATATCCAGAAATTATTTCAGATACAAGGAAAGACATGCACGTGACATCAGCATACTTGTATGTGGGAGGCAGGACAGACCTTCTCATTCAAAATATGTGTCTGCCCTTCCAGAAAGCCTGTAATATCAGGAAAAAAAATGTGTTTTCCCTGGTTTCCTAAAGGCTGGCAGCTCTGACCTGTTCTCAAGCTTCGCCACATTCAGAAAAACAATTTACATCACAGTGTGTGTGTGCTCCAAAGCCTTGGGAATTAGATCTCAATTCTCTGCAGAAGAAAAGTTTCTAGACTCTCTGACATAGAGCTGCCCCCTATGTACTCGGAAGGATTTCACAGTGAGGTCGTTAGTGACCTCACTGCCCTCTGTCCTCTAAGAAACATGTTCCAGAGGATAAAGAACACCATATCCAAAGGCTATTCGTAGAGTCTCTTTATTTGAAGAAAGAATTTCTTAGTAGAGCCATCATCTGGACAAAGCTAAGTGAAAGGAACAACACAAAGCAAAGCTAAAGCATGTACATTAGGGACCACAAAACTCTCCACTTAATATGCAAATTTCCACTCATAATATCAAAGTAATCATTTTACTTCAGTGCAATCCCGGGACACGGTTATTTAAGGAATTCTTTTCTATAGACAATCTACAGAGTCAACATTCACTGGCTACTGAGAAATGCTGTCCAAATGAGAATGTTCACACAGAGGAACAGATATAAAAAGATCGCCTTAAATGGACTTTTAGAAAACATTAGTCGAGAAAATCAGGTAGGTTTCATTATTCAAAATGCCACCTTGGGTAAAGAAAAGGAACTTACATAACAGAAACCGATGGCGAATATTTACATGATGGTGGAATCTTAAGACTTGGTTCAGCTGAGCTGCCTCTGAGTTCTATGTGAACTTGAGGGGCCCTTGCAACACAGTAAGCTAGTCTTGGCTGCATCTGCTGTCAGTCACATTGAAACTCAGTCATAGCTACAGCTATATCCCAGGCTGGTTTGTTTTCTATCACCGGAGTTATGTGACCCAAGGTTTAGGAGATTCAGCTTTAAGAAACTCATAATCAGAGTTGCCAAAACTATAGCTCCTGACAACGTCAGTAGACAAGAACGCAAGCAAAGCAAGCAAAGCTTAGGGCTTATCATAGAATAGGTAGAATATCCTAGGACATCTGTTTACTTTGGTTTCTGATGATTCCCAAAGTTAACAAGAAAAATGTGGAGAGATGGCTCAGCAGTTAACAGCACTTGCTGTTCTGGCAGAGAACAGGGGCTTGGTCCCCAGTATCCACATGAGATTTCACTCCTAGGATCCTGGCACACTGGATTCTAGGAGTAGCAGGCACACACATGGTGCCCAAATACACATGCAGGGAAAGCACTCATACACATAAATAACATATATTAAAAATAATTTCATTTCTAATTGGAATGTAAGTTCCAGAAGACCACTGATCCAATAAAAACACCTCGGAAAACTTAGGGAGAGCTTTGGATGCAAACAGTTAAAAAGTTTCAATTCCACTGAAGGAAAAGTCAGTCCCAGAGAGCGGAGATAGACAGCTCTTCCTCAGCATCCCCTCTCCCCCAGGGGTGAACTGAATTTGCCAAATCTGGGTATGAACAGAAAGTTGGCTTGTCAAAATTAGATAGATTACTTGAGGAGAGAGAGAAGCTCTGGTAGCTTTTAACAGCTGTGTAGAATAGGCATGACAGATTGGGACATGAAGAAGTCTCCAACATGGAGCCAGCTTCCATCTCCTGCTGGTTTTCTCCTGCAGGACTTTTTTTTTTTCTGATAACTGGGAATTGGAGAAGTCCGAGAGTTAACTTGGAGAAACAGAGTCTCCGACAGCCTGACAGCAAAAAAGGGAAAGACATGTGGTATTTCAAGACAAGTTTCATTCTCTTGAAATTAAAAGTAAACGGCAATTAATGAAGAACCTGACTTTGATCCAGATGAAGTAATCAGCATCTTGGTTTGCTTTTGGAAGGTTGTGTTAGGTAAAATTATCATGTAAAGAGCATCATGTGTTATATATTCTATCTATGATACGATAAAAGATCAAAGAAAATGTGATGCTCCAAAGTCTGAGATACAGGCAAAGACAAAATAGCCAATAGAAACAGACCTACAAATGACCCATATATTTCAACTTGTAGAGAAACTCTTTAAATTACTATTATGTAAGAAAGGACGGGAAACAGAACAGACAAAGAATTTCAACAGATGGATGGAAGCATTCAAGGGCTGAGAAGAAAGCTCAATCTGTCGGGTATTTGCCTTGAAAGAATGAGGACCTGAGTTCGATCTCCAGGGCCCCCATAAAGAGAACAGAACAAAAACAATCATGACAACAAAAGGTGTGATGGTATGTGTAATCCCAGTGCTGGGGAGGCAGGGAGAGGTGGGTTCCTGGGGCT